GGGCGCTGTGGGGCCGGGGGGCTCCCGCCCCGCGCGCCCGCGGCCGTGCCCGGGTCGCTCCTTTCGTGCCCATCGTACCCATGCCCGTGCCCAGCGAGTGGGGGGGGCCCCCGTCCCCCTGTGACTCTGAGAGGAATCCGCTGGGGGTCTGAAGTTGTGAAGCTGACGGTGAAAGCAAAGCGAGCGTTACCGTGTCGTGGGCACCTCTCTTCTGAGGGTCAGACACGAGGCTCTGCCCTTTCCGTTAGGTGGTTCTTCCCTGTACGCAGCCCCAAACTATTAGATAAGCGCTATTAAGATCCTTTAAAACACCTAACTAGGAGTAGAAAATATTAAGAAGAGCCATCTAATTACTTTTCCTGCTCCTATATGCAGAATAAGTGGTCAGCTAATAAAAATATAGTCAGTGCTTTGATCTCCTAATTCCTGTGCATCCCAGATGCCCCTGCTCTCTGCATAGTAAACATTCTGGCCATCTCTATTTCTCCACAACAATGTTGCGATTGCATCATTCCTCCGCATGCCTCTGCTAGGAGCATGCTCCTCTCACCACTTCTTAGGTTAGGCTAGATCTGATAAACCATCTCTTTCCAAGTTTTTACTTAATTAAAGTAGACTTTTTGCCAAAAACCTCCACAAGAGGATTTTTTTTTCATTACTGTCATTGAACTTGTGAGTCATTTTTTTTATTATTATTTTCAAATCTCGAAAATCTGACTTTTGTTTGAGGTTTGGCATTTTTGCAGGGATTACTATCTTTTTTTTCTCTCTCCCTTTTTTGCCACAAAAAGCAATAGAGCGCATGATGAGGAAATAGCAATTAATGGGTCATCATTTATGGTTAGAAATTTGGAGAGGAGAAAGATGTAATTTTGCTTGAGGAAATTTTGAAACCTGTAATATCACAAAAATAAAAAAATATATGCTAACAATTCAGTCTCTTGCTAAGTTCATTTCATTGAGTGTGTTGTAATTAGAGAGCCGTGGCTTCTTCAGCCATGGCTCCTTCTGTTATCTTCCATGATCCACAGGCGACCAGGTCGCAAGAAAGAAATTGCCCAAGGATGTTCCATGGGTGGAAAACGAAGCAAGAGGAAAAAAACAGCCATAGCTATTTGTAGCGGTGCAGCTATAGCTGTGTGTATGACTGCATGGAGGCAGTGAGAAAACCGGGCTGCTCCACGTAGATGTGACGTGAATGCAAAAGCCTGTTGCTACTTGGAGTTTCCAGAGGGGTTGTGATTCAGGGTCTTTGCAAAGATCCCACCAGCCAGAGCTGGAAAGCTGGTTCCATCTCACTAGTTAGGTGACAGAACATGTTGAGCCTTCCACAAGAAGCGTATGGACAAGCATAACAAACCTTGGGACTCCGCTGCGCTCAGCGGAGTCCTCGTGTGTGTGCTGTGCTGCCCTGACATTCCCCGCTCTCCCTGACTCTACCGGGTCATGTTCTTTATGTCATGGACACAACTTAGGCACCACAGTTGCTGCTGCGCTGACCTATGTCCCTGAACCCCACTTTCTGCAAGAGTGTTTATATGTCCAGGTCTAGGTCTGCTGTGCTTGCTCAGCTGTAGGAAACCATATGGAATGCTTTAATGACCCACATAAACAGCACTGCAAGAGAGGCGGTAATTAAGTTGCTATAACGTTCTTCTCATGTCCCTCCCTTCCCGTATGCCACAATGTCCTCTAATAAGATGTTATATGCCGTCAGGAAGCTGACCATCAATTATGCTAAACTGGAACATGCCCGTGTCCTCTCCTTCACGCCCCCACAAGAGGCCATTAGTTAATAAGGAAGGATTATCAGAATTTAGGAAATACAGGTCAAGAAAATTACTACAGCTCAAGCCCTTTAAAATTCCTCCAGATAGGGAGGATTATTGTGTTGCGGAGCTGTGATGTCTGTCCTGTGCTAGGCGTCAGAGGTGACGGAAACTGAGTGTTAGTTGGTTGCCCCAACTGGAGGTACCAGGTCCCTCCCTCAGTGAAACAGGGTATCGGTACTGCAGTACCATCCTTGCCAACACTGAACACAAACTTCATTAAGAGTTTTGCCTGACTTAAGAGTGTTATAACCTTTTTTTTTTTTGCCGTTTATTTCTTATAGATGTATTTGTAATCCCTTTTAACAGCTCTTCACCACAAGAGCCCCTAATCCACTCGAGGACAGCGTATGAATGCCCGGTGTTGCTGCCACGTTCCCCGTGCGAGGCAGCCCGCTCTGCCCGTGTCCAGGGCAGGCCTGTCTGCCTCCTCCACCAGGCTGAACACTGAAACCCTCCTGGGCCAAAAGCCGCCGTCTTGGCTCGCTTCAGGCCGAGGGGCTGTAGTGCCCCTGGGGGCAGAGTCATGGGCAGGTCAGGCACAGACGGCAGCTGGGGCACACACCAGCTCCCATCCCTGCCTCTGCCCCGCAGTTTTTCTCATAAACCAGCAGGATCAACACTGTTGCCCCCAGGCTTTTCTGTTGTGTTACCATACATCAGCTTCCAAGAGGAATGGGCATGGTTCCTAAATTTAGGACCGTCCATGTGGCAACCTTATAAATTGTAGGACTAATAGGGAGGTGAAAGATGAAGGTCTCCTTTATCAAATCAGGCCTTCACCTAAATCAAGCCATAAGGCACTGTGCTTACATGAGAACATTGTGTTCCTGCTTCAGTATTTGAGGAGAATACTATATCTTCAAAGCAGGCAGCACTCCTCTTTTTTTTTATTTTTTTTAAGGCTTCCAGGCATTGTTTGTGACTCACCCAGTTCTTCTCTCAGTTCACCTTCCGGTCCACACATGTGGAATAAGCAGTTTTCAAAATTATTTGTTCACTGGAAATGTGTTCTGAGGGGAAAAGCAGCTCTGGCTCTCCTGTGGGCAAGTTCGCACTGCCCCACAGCAGCATGGCAGGGCAGGAGAAGGCTGCACGGGGCTTCGTCTCGCTGCCTCCTCTGCAGCCGGTGCTCTGCACTGAGCACTCCTGAGCTCCCCGCAAAGTCCAGAGCGTGGCGGGAGGAAGGGGACTTTGCTTGGGAGATTCACTCTTACTCAGCATGTTTGCTGAGTAAACACAGTCACTTCTTTTTTCTTAGAATTTCTGAGCAAATTTGTAAGCGGAGAGAGCCCGGCCACAAAGGGCGCCTCGTCGCTATGCGCCTTTTCTGCTCGGAAAAGATGAGACCCTGTCCATAAACCTGTAATGCAGCCACATATCGCAGAACACACTGCCCTCTTTTAGCACGTAACTTGTTCCCTTCCTGTGCAGTCATCAGACCTGTCCCTGCTTTTCACAAGGGCTTGCAGGACTCCGGCAAGCATGACTCCCTCTGCCTGTTCCCCTTCAAGGCTATCAATATGCATTTTAGGTTGTGTTTCTCACAGGCAGCGTTCTGTTAGCTGTTCTTACAAAGCTCCTTCAAATGAGATCCAGTCAGTGACACCAAAGACAACAAAAATATTTCCTGCATACAAACAGGTTTATGCATTGCAAGCGAAAAAATACAAATGAAAAGTGAATATTATTATTCACATAGCTCCATCTCAAGTTCTCTATTACATCCTTCTTCAGGAAAGCAGCTTTATCAAGGAAAGGACTTAAATATGTGTTTGCAGTCAATTAAAGAAGCTTCTTTGAATAGGGGCAGAGTTAAGCATGTGCTTAAATGCTTTCACTTGTGGTCTGTGAAGAAAGATTATTGCTGTAATTGGCATAAAGATAAGAAGTGAAGAGTGTCTTGCTCTTTAAAGATATTTCTTCTTCCACTTAGTTACTGTGTCTGGGAAATTTGGGAGCTTTGGATGTCAATAGCAGAATGCCAAACAAATAGAGTGTGTCAGGGTATCTCATTATTTTTCTTCTGATTCGTGCAAAGCAGATGAAAAAAAAAATCTTTCTTTTCCTTTACTTGCTAATAGAAAGGGAGTGTTTTTAAAGGGTACTTTTCTTATTTTTGATTTTGATCTTTCTAATTTATTTTGTTTTCTTGCCATCAATTCATTCATTTGATCAAATAGCATTTGGCAGCTTCAAACTTGTCCCTATCTTCTGTCACTACTAACTGAACATATTTACTGAAGCATTTTTCAGGACCTGCAGCCAAAATAGTTGAACTTGGGTGCATTTTGGAGCCACCTACCACTTCAGTTTCAGGACCCCCAGGGACTGAACACCCGAAATTCCCCCAAGACAACCAGCAAGTGCATACGCTCATCACCAGAAAGGAAATCACTTCTAGGTGGCAGCTTGTGAGTGAACGTGCTGAACCAAGGCGTCCATTTTCAAAAATTTTACTCTAGGGTCCTATCTGCTCTGACTTGGGGATCGTGTTGAGCTTTTTGTAGGTACAAGGTTCTTTCCCCATCTCTGCCACTGTGTGGGGGGACCAAGTGGGAGTAGGAGGAAGAGGCCAGTCCCTCATATCCTGTAGCACTTCAGCATTTCAACACTAGCATCTGTAGGAAGCTCCTTCCAAGGACACCACCAACGTCAGCAACACAAATAAAGCCAGGTAGCTTTGAACTCCAGTGCCTGTTTGCTGCTGTCCTGGGACTAGCAACCTTCAGGTTGCAAATCAGTGGGTGTTTCCTGAGCAGCGGCGCTGAGGAGGAAATGTGCTAGCCCCTGCAGTGCCACCTGCAGCCACTGCCCACTCCACGTACCTGTGGCATCAGGCCTTGTCACAGAACAGACATATTACGGCATCAGAGCAGGTTGGTTGAGGACAGGCGTTTCCATTGTCACTGGGGGCTGCTACACTTCACTGAGGTAGGCTTTCTAAAGAGCTCTTGCAGGAAGAGTGGCACTCAAGTCCTACAAAGGTGAGTCCTTGGATTTCCTTACCAGAACAGCTAATGTTGTGGGGAAATCACGTGCGTGTTCTCACATTTGGAAAGTCTTTCAGTTCAAAACTAGTTCAACAAGTGCAGCTTTGAATCATGCGAGACAAACGCATCCGTGTAACGCTGCCAGAGAAGAGATGCCCTTTGGTGGCACATTTTGCCCCCATACATGGTACGTGCTGCTGCACAGCCACGCTTCTGGGAGCACGCTGACATCAAGGAGGAGCCAAGCAAAGACTTGGTTTCCGTGCCAGGGGTTGGACTAGCAACAATAACCTAGTACCAGAGCAGTATTGGCACTGTCCAACGAAGGCACTTAGTGCAAGAACAATATTGGATCAGAAGAGGAAAATCCCCGGGCAAACAAGAACGAAGGCTGTGGTGCTGGCGGAGCCTACATCAAGCCTGCCGGGTGCTTCCTGCAAGCGCCACAAGCACAGGACACAGCACATCCCACTGCCACAGCTCCGCGTGCCCAGCCGGGGCACGTCCCGGAGGCTCCGGAGTCGCAGGGCGTGATGAGGCACAGGGACCCCAGTGAAACACACATTCATCCGCTGCCTTTCTGACCCAGCGCTGGCAGGTCTGGTCTTGCAGGCGGCCTCGGGCTCCTCCGGAGCAGGCGGGCCGGGTGTTCCCAGCTGGCTCGCCCCACGCGCGGCCCTGCTGCTCCTGCTGCCGCAGGGACCTTCGCGGCTGTCTCGGTGCTGCCAGTGCCGTTTGGGGGCCCAGCTCTAGCCTGCTCATCATTTTACCATCGTTGGATTATGAGTATGAATCTTACCAGCCTCAGAGAGATACACTTCCCTGTCTTAAACAAGCAGATACGTTTCTAGAAAGGAAAACATTTTAATTGCTGTTTAAAGTGTTTTCATTGTAAATCTTCCCGTAAGTTTACGTCTTCAGGAGCCATTGATCAGCCATTAGCCAAGCTCATGACAAAGACTTGGTCTTACTAAATTGCTACTAAACTGCTACTGCTTACTAAGCTTGCAAGCCTTAAGCCTTACTAAACTGCTTGTTTTTAGAAAGAAGCCGTCCCAGCAAATAGCGTCAAATGATTACTGCCATGTATTAAAAGCAAGACTATAAACACTTTCTTCAGATAACCGCTCTGGGAAGTGTTTAAAGAACAGCTTTGCCCAGAGCCCAAACAACACCCGATTCCAGCCCTCATCGCTGTGGGCCGGCTCCCCCAGGACGCTGCTGTGCCCTGGAGCACGCTGCCGTTCCGAGCGAGGCCGCAGGGACACTGCCGCTCTCCTCAGCAGCTGAACGGGGCCTTCACGTAAGGATGGAGACACCTCTGCTGCGTCGTGTCACCTCTTTTTCATTCAAGGATCATACGTTTCTGCTGTTTGTCAAATCATATCCCCAAACAGTGAGTTAACACGGTGACTTTATGCTCTCTGGCTAAATCTTTTATCACAACTGCTTTCCATGGAGGCCATTTTGTGGCCAGCTTAAGCCAGTCCCTCCAAAAAAGAGCTGCTGCCAAGAGAGGCAGAGGCCTTTCCTGTCGCCAACCACATTCCTGCCCCCAACCAGGCAATGATGCAGCCAGGAGGGGCGTCATATCTGCCTGCTAATGCAAACAAAACCAAATCCTTTTCCTTCAGCGTTAGTTCTCAGCTCAATCAGCGAGTTAATCCTATTTACCAGGGCTGCCGGATTGCTGGAGCTGACACACAGGCCCGTGTGGCGAGGGCAGGGAAGAGCGAGGGGCCGTGTCCTGGTGAGAGCCCACGGCTGCAGGAAACCACAAGCCTGGCTGGACAACAAGGGAGGGATTGATGCCTGGGAATCAGTAGCTGACACACAAACATCTCCGGATCACGAGGCTCCCTTTGGAGCTAGCAGAGATCTAATCAGCTTCGCCAGAGGAGCCTGCAGGGTGATTTATCTCCTTCCACAGTTGCGTGCGCTTGATCAGATGAATCCCATCCTTGGAGCGCCCGTTTCTTGACACTGATTATAAAGAAAGCCCGGTGTGAGTAGCTTAGATACTAAGTCACAGGCTAATTAGGCGACTCCTGCCCCCAAGTGTTAGTTCTGCCCATTATAAGATTTTCTTTAATTATTTATTTGTACCATTAAAGCAGATGAGTTAAGTGACTTTTTAATGCCACAAATAAAATAATGTCAGAAGTAAAAGCAGAATACAGTGACCCTTCCTACTAATACTAATGCTCATGCCATTATACCAGAGATGAGATTTCTCAAAGCTGTGTCTCCAAGCCAAAACCATGCATAAAGGAAGTGTTTTGATTTGAACTACTGGGCATCCAGCTGTTCCTTCAGAAGCAAACAGCAGCTGGTGTGTGCATGTGAAAAGCAGGTCATTTATGTAGACAGTTAAGGATGGAAGAGTTTCACTTCAGGCATGAGTTTTCAAAAACTTGGTCCGAGTCTCTTATGAACTATTTCTGCACTGTGCATCAAGAATGGCTGTTTGCAGAGGGCAAAACAGTGAGTAGAAACATCATTTCTTGAGAGCTTTCCTTGTGTTGGCCCGCTTCATATCTACCCAGACTTCCCAGTCCTCATGTCTGAGAGAACAAAGTTCACACCAGCACAGGTCGATTCAGCGAGGAGCCGTGGCGGCTGCAGAGCCCATGCAGGGAACCCATTCCCACCCCTGCCGAGATGACAAAGCAGTTATTAAATGCGGCAGTTCCCATGGGTGTCCCAGGAAGGACTCACCCATCCAATCCCCAGGTAACCTGCTTGTGAAATACCTGCTCCAGCTCCTTATTGACTAACAATATCTATTATCTGCTTAGCTAATAGGTGGGGATAAAGGTCTTTTTTTCTGCCTCATGTCAAGCTCTTGTGTAAAAAGCTGCAGTTAAACTGTGTATAACCTTAGGAGCCCGAACAGCGCCAACTAAAGTTCGAGGAATTTGCTTATTCAGTTTTTATTAGCCACATGTAGTAAACATGTTTTGCTCCTTTGCCAATTAGATAAACCAAAGCCTATCTGCCTAATTTCCTCGAAATTCACCCATAGGAAGATATTCTGCTTGAAAACAAGGACTACCTCAAAAGAGCAGAATGTGTGTTTCGCTGACGAGCAGCGTACCAAGGTTGTTAATGTATCTTTTATATCACTGATTTGTTGTGGTCTAAACAGCCAGAAATCAGCGCACTGGTGGGTCTTTGCCCAGCTGCTCTGCAGAGCTCCTGTACTGTCAGTGCCGCTACGTACGAACGGGAACCGTGTTTCGCACGTGGTGCCAGGGCCGCTCGACGCTTTGCTTGCAGCGAGAAGCAGAAGCGCCACACAGGGCTCCTGCAGCGACCGAGCGTGGCCGTGTCCATACCAACGGCTCCAGGAAGCAGCCCTCGGATCCGTCCATGTCTCTGAGCCACCTGGTCAGCCACCGAGGTGGCGTGGAGTGGCTAATGATTAAACCTGATTTTTTGTTTTCAGCTGCTGGAGAAGAGCTTCTGTAGCAAAGCAGGGAGGAGAATACAATGCTGCTTTCCACCAAGGCATTGTTCAGATACCCCAGGTAAATACTGCCGTTTAGCATTGCTATCTCCTCCCCCGAACAACTTTGAGGAAATCTGTCACTGCTCTTAACAGTTCGTCAGACTTTAAAAGTGTAAAGGGAAAGCAGTTGCATTTCCAAGATGGCTTGGAACAAATCTGAGTTTGGGAAGTTTCCAGTAACCACAACTGCAACATAAAACATACCCAGGCATCTGCTGGGCAATTACAAATGTGATCCTCCTCCCTCTAAGTGACTGCGTTTCAGAGGCATTGGCTCTGTGCACGCACATGCGGGCGCACTGCACACACCGTCCCGCGGGAGAGCCCCGAGCAGCATCCCTGATCTCCTAACGCCTGGGGGCTCCCTGCTGGAGGGGGAGACAGGGGTGTGTGGCTGCTGTAGCAGTCAAATACCGCATACTCTCCCGGGGTTTATTTGTGCCAGATGAAAGAAACAAAAGTGATTACAAAAATACCAAAGAAACAAAACAAACAGGCAAAAATGGAGAAAGGGCGGGAAGAAAGGAAAATCCAGACCAAGCAACAGGCAGTTAGTTATTTCTACTAGATCCAATGTTCCTGGCTTCTCCTGACAGACCTGCTTGATTGCTGGGACAGCGTGGGCTCTTCTATGAGTTTCTCTTTAGCTGAAACAGCTCATTAAGAAGATGCATTTTAATTATGTCAGCCATAAGGGTATCACTTCATAAAAACATTCTTCTGGAGGAAGTAATAACATATTTGCTCAGTTTAAAGCCCATCCTCAACAGTTCTTGCTGGATGCGCGTTACACTTACGTGACCTTATTCCATTGAATTATCCTCAGGGAAAGTAGGAGCAAGGGATGGTGAGGGAAGAGGTTTGGGAACAGACACCTGTAATCAAAAGGCCAGACCTTTGTATGCAGCCCAAGCCACATTCAAGTCAATGATTCCCAAAGTACCAAATGCTCCTGCATTTACAATTCAAGGATAAAGCCCTGTAATCTCACCCAAGTTCTGTACACTGCAGCAGCTTCCCTTGCTTGTTTGCAAACTCTTCAGCTCACCAGTGCCTGACGCACAGCAGACACCTCCCAGGGCCACTCAGCACCCACACTATCATCCTACTGATGTCACCCAGCCTGAAACTTAGCACAATCATCAGCTAAGGGATGGGGAAGAGGCTCAGCATTTATCTGGAGCAAGCTGATAGCTTTCAGCTGGGTATTCTGCCCGAAAGGACAAGTTGCTTTGGGAATCCCCTGTCCTTCACAGATGCTTTAAGGGAGTTGGAAGCAAAACATACAGATAATCTCAAGGCCAAGTTCTTGAGTTACTGCTCAAAGGTTTGTCATTTGTTGCATTGACACAATGTTAAAACTGACTCAGTGATTTGCACATCAAAGACTCTGGCCTAAACTAGGAAATACTTTTCTGAGAGCTAGCCAGCAGTGATGGAAAGGGTCGGGAGGGGGAGACTCCCACAGACAAAATAAAAAGGAGAAAGAGTTTTGTGAGCTGAGTTGCCCTGTGTGAATGCTTTGAGAAACAGTGTTTAATGTGGGTTAGTTCTTCACTCTAAATCCATCCCAAGCCTCTGTGTTTTATTTTTATATAAAATGACCTGAATTTATCCTCCTCCTTCTCTGCAGAAGTGCTTCCCTAAAGCAAATAGCCAAGTGTGGCACTAACAGGAGGAGCCTCAGCGAGGAAGCAGCAGCAGCTGCGTACGGAGGCAGTCTCAGCTGCCAAATCAAGGAGCATTTCTCTCCTGTGAAGGGAGGGAGCCGGGCGACTGGGCCATTACTGTGCTTAGACTGGTATTAAATTAATTAAGAAAATTAGAGGGGTAGGCGTTGCCACAGAAAGAAGATTTCCAGTTTATCTAGTGCTCTGCATTGGTATCTTGTGAGTGACCTGTGCAAAGCAGCAGTGCAGCTAGTGCTATGTATGGGTTCGTTTCTACTAGCTGCTCGCTTAGACCAGATACCTGCCAGCCAGGTAATGCAAGCCCCAAATATGAATTTCCCTAGAAAACCTTCCCAGGTTGAAAAATGTCTAGTGTTCTTTTCAAGTATTTACTACGGTAGGCTCAAAGGAGAGAAGGGACCTCAGCACTAGCTGGGATCTTGAAGGAGGCTCCCTGGGGTGAGGGACACTCGCCCCACCGCTTGGTGCTCCAGAGCTTGAAGCAGAAGTGCGCGATTTATGGCGTGATAAGGAGCTCTCCTGGCACTGGCAGCCTTCGGGGGCTGCGTTCCCTGGGAGCAGGA